GCACTCAATATGTCAGCAAATATGGAAAAGTCAGCAGTGGCCACAGGACTGGAAAATGTCAGTTTTCATTCCAATCCCATAGAAAGGCAATGCCAAAGAATGTTCAAACTACCGCACAATTGCACTCATCTCACACGCTAGCAAAGTAATGTTGAAAATTCTCTAAGTGAGGCTTTAACAGTACATGAACCGAGAATGTCCAGATGTTCAAGCTAGATTTAGAAAAAGCAGACGAACCAAGGATCAAATTGCCAACATCCACTGGACCATAGAAAAACCAAGAGAGTTCCAGAAAAACATCTATTTCTGCTTTATTGACAACACCAAAGCCTTTGACTGTGTGGATCTCAACAAACTGGGGGAAATTCTTCAAGAACCACCTTACCTGCCTCCTGAGAATCTGTATGAAGGGCAAGAAGCAATAGTTAGAGAACCAGAATTGGAACAACAGACTGATTTCAAATAGGGAAAGGAGTACGTCAAGGCTGTATACTGTCACCCTCCTTATTTCACTTCTATGCAAGGTACATCACACAAAATGCTGGGTTGGATGAAACACAAGCTAGAATCAAGACTGCTGGGAGAAATATCAATATCTCAGATATGCAGATGACACCACTATAATGGCAGAAAGTGAAGAGGAACCAAAGAGCCTCTTGATGAAGGTAAAAGAGGAGAGTGAAAAAGCTGGCTTAAAACTCAACATTCATAAAACTTAATATCATGGTATCTGGTCCCATCACTTCATAGCAAACAGATGGGGAAACAATGAAACTTTATTTTCTTGGGCTCAAAAATCACTGCAGATGGTGTCTGTAGCCATGAAATTAAAAGACGCTTGCTTCTTGGAAGAAAAGCTATGACCAACCTAGACAGCATATTAAAAAGCAGAGACATTACTCGGCCAACAAAGGTCCATCTAGTCAAAGCTATGGTTTTTCCAGCAGTCATGTATGGATGCGAGAGTTGGACCATAAAGAAGCCTGAATGCCAAAGAATTGATGCTTTTGAACTGTGGTGTTGGAAAAGACACTTGAGAATCCCTTAGACTGCAAAAATATCAAACCAGTCAATCCTAAAGGAAGTCAATCCTGAAAATTCATTAGAAGGACTGAAGTTGATGTTGAAGCTCCAATACTCTGGCCACCTGATGAGAAGAGCCGACTCATTAGAAAAGACCCTGATGCTGGGAAAGATTGAAGGCAGAGGAAGAAGGGGACAACAGAGGACAAGATGGCTGGATGGCATCACTGACTCAATGGACATGAGTTTCAACAAACTCTGGGAGACGGTGAAGGACAGGGAAGCCTAGTGTGCTGCAGTCCACGGGGTCGCAAGGAGTCGGACACAACTGAGTGACTGAACAACAACATGAAAATAATAGTAACAAAAACAGATTAAGTGGAAATACAGTGTTGCAAGATTCTTACATTTCATGTGAAATAGAACAATTAACAACTGTCATTAGGCTATGATAAGTTAAAGATATATATTGTAATCCTTACAGCAAAAACTAAAAAAAAAAAAAAAATTGCAGAGGTATAACTAAAAGGAAAACAAAGCAATTAAGGTTCAAAACTAAGTCCACACACCTAAAATCTAAACACTGACAATATCAAATTCTGGATAGGTTATGGAGCAACAGAAATCCCCACCCTTTGCAGTAATGTAAAATGATACAGCCACTTTGGAAGAAAACTGGCAGTGTCTTATGAAAGTGAACATAATTTCAACAAAACAAAATAGCAATTTTGGGGTATTTACCCAAGTAAACTGAAAACTATATCCACATTAAAAGCCATACATGATTGTTTACTGCAGCTTTACCCACAATGCTAAAAACCAGGAGCAACCAAGATGTCCTTCAACTGGGGAATAAACAGACTGTGGTATACCCATACAATGCAATACTACTCAGTGATAAACAAGGAATGAAGTACTGATTCATTCAAGAACACGGATGAATCTTAAGTGCATTTTGCTAAGTGCAAAAAGTCTGACTCAAGCGTTGGTGGTACAGTGGTTAGCATAGCTGCCTTTCAAAAAGTCTGACTCAAAAGGTTATATACTGTATGATTCCATTCATGTAACGTTCTGAAAAAGATAAAATTATAGGGATGGAAAACAAGAGCAGAAATTACAATGGGTTGGTGGAGGAGGAATTAGTAACTAAAAGGTGACTTACACAGGAAATTTTAAAATGATGACTCTACTCATTTGTCAAATCCAACAGAACTTACACCAAAAAGAGTACACACTAATATAAGTAAGTTTAAAAAGAAAATAATTACCCAGGATATCTGGGGGTGGGGAGGGGACTGACTCTTTATGTTTACACATGAAAGAACTACATATAAATCCATGCTTAGATGGTAAATGAGTTTCTCATTTCTAAATTTCTCAATTTTGAAATTGCTTTATGTGCATCCTGGGATAAGCAAAATGAATAGTGGATAGTGGGTGCCCCTTTCTCAATGTTGGGGAGGGAATTTATAGGTAAGGAAAAAAGAAAGGTAATACTTGGTTAGAGTCAGTTACATCAGTATGAACTCATATTTATATATGCATATATATAACATACTTCCAGATGGACACAGAAACAATTATAGATATGTGTGTATACACACATACAGACCACTATACATGCATTACCTAGCTCTGTCTACTGAGAGGATCTAGAAGCAATGACACTCCAGTAATAATAAGCATTCGAGCAGTTATATCTTGGTTTCCAAATACAATTCTCCATTAAAAGCTGCCAGGGTTTCTTAGAGAAATGGCAATTCTTTAGGGCTGGGCCAGAAAAAATACAAGGAAGTAAAAGAATGCTCAAAAAGGAAACGGCTGGGGCAGTGAAAGGGACACCTGACAGAATTTCCAGTATTCAAGGAATGGAACAAAAAAGATAACATAAGCAACAAAATAAATAACATACCACTAGATTACAGAACAAAGTATAATATACATGAGTCCATACTAATATAAATAAATGATTGAACAAATAAATGGGGAGGTAAAACAGATCTTCCTTACAGAAAATATCTAAATAATACATGGAGATACCCTTCCATAGTTGTTCTTCTGAGTATAAGCTGAACTCAGCGACTCACTTCCAAAGCAGAGAGTATAAAAGAAAAAGAAGAGTAATTTTAAAGTTGAGACATCTGGCAAACACTCACTATCTTAACCAAGTGATCCTGGTTAACATTACTAGTGATGTCATGTGGGTTATCATGTAACCCCTAAAGTGACATGATGAGAAGGACATTTCACTACTGTGGGATTCTCTGCAAAAACCCATAACATTCAGGCTAACCATCAGAAAAACACCAAACAAACTCAACTGAGGAACATTTCATAAAAACACCTGACAGTACCCCCACCAAACCGTTAAGGTTACAAAAAGCAGAGAGACCGAGAAGCTGGCGCAGAGAGGAGATACAGAGGAGACAGGACACTTAGCACAGTGTAGCGCATGGAAATGCATCCTTGAACAGAAGAAGGAAGCTAACAGAAAACTGACAAAGTCCAAATAAAGTCTGGTACACTAATAATATGCTAATGTTGGTTTCCTAGATTTGATTGCTGTATCATGCTAATATGGTAACAAAATTAGATAAGGTATGTATAAGAAATGTTTGCACATTTTCTATATATATAAAATTATTCCAAAACAGATAGAATACAAATATTTTTTCAAAACACTACCCCCAAACAACTGCAAAATACACATTATCTTCAAGTGCAAATGGGGTATTAACCGAGGTAAACCATATACTGGGCTACTAAACATGTCTTAACAAATTTAAAAAGATAAAAAATTATAGCATTAATTTCAAAATATTAGAGTAAATTCTCTAACCTCAATGGAATTACATTGGAAATCGATAAGATATCTAGACTAGTCTAAATGTTTGGAATTCTAAAATACACTTCTAAGTAATTCATGGGTCAAAGAGTGAACCAAAAAGAAAATCAGAAAATATTTTGAACAAAATCCAACATACATTCCTGAAAAAAGACTTTCCTAAGCCAACTGGGAACAGAAATTTCTCAACTCAATAAAGGAAATTTATCCCCCCACCAAAAAAACTATAGTTTATAAAATTTAATGGTAAAAAGACTGAACGTTTTCCTCCTAAGGTTAGAAACAAGGTAAAAGATGTCTGCTTTAACTACTCCCACTCACCATATGCACTGGAAGTTCTAGCTAGTGTAGTAACGCAAGAAAAAGAAACAAAAGACATCTGGATTGGAAAGGAAGAAGTAACACTGTCTATATTCACAGAAGACTCATTCCTCAAGGTTCAAAATCTGGTAGAAGCTACAGAAAGCCATTGTATGAAGTGACCTTTGCTTCAAGGAAAGTGGCTGATATAATATTGGGTTGTTGCTAATGATAAAATTGGAGCTTTAGAGCATACATTAGAATTTTTTTTAAACTTTAGCTTTGGTAATATGGTAACTAACTACCACAGACTCCTTTAGCTTCTAGTTATTTAAAGATTTTCTGTGATGAGGTCAAAGTTAATGTTAGTATATAATTATTATCTGATATTGTACATAAAATATGTCAGCATTTGAAAGGCCTGAAAAACTCAGCAAATCAATGAACAGTAGATGATGCTATGAAGTCACGCATGAGAAAAAGATCAAGACAAAATAGAAAAAAGACCAATAAATTTTAATCTAACAGAATGAAAAGATTTTTTATATGGTTTCTGATTCCATATTACAAGTAATCATTAAGAAACTTATTTTTTGTGGAATATTAAAAAAATATAATACACCTTCCTTTCCTAACTACCTGTGTATAAATTTGAATTTTCTTCCTATATTTCAACTAAACATATTGCAACAGCCTAAATCCCGAAGTATTCTATTAGCCCAGACATTAATGAGATTTGCAAAAATGCAAATCAAAGCTATTCTTCTCACTTTTTCATTCAGAAAATAGTTATTTTTCTTTAAAAGCAGGGTAAATATGCTATTGTAATGGCTTTTTTAAAAGAATAAATACTTTTAAAACTATTTAGTTTCTAATATGGTAAATATTAACAGATACAACCCACACAAAACTTCTTGGAGTCCTAAATAATCTTTAAGAGTATAAAGGGGTCTTGAGATTACAAAGTTTGAGAGTCACTGTGCTACATGATAGAACTATGTCCTTTAGCAGGCAAGAGATGGAATCGAACAGGAAGTAGAGGGACTGTCTGCAGATAGAGGCACATACAATTCACCCATGAGAGCATACAGAAAGTTAAGTGTATGTGGGTACAGACGTGGGTAGGTGAACATATAAGGCAGTAGGGGTCAGTGCGACATTACAAGAGACTCACTCCCAAGGCAGTGAAGAAAAGGTTCAAGGGCTACACTTTAAAGATACAATATACAGAAGGCTACAGACTAGCACCCATCACTCAATCCTCTCTAAACCTTAGAGAATACCACCAGAAGTGATCAACATCAAAAAAAAGGTATCTATCTGGACCACCTCAGTTATTTACCCAGAGCTTTAAAAAGCTTTGAAAAGGAAAAGAGGAGTGTTACGAGCATGGGAAATGGGATTTGAGAAACAGAAGCAAGTAAACTGCACACTACTAACCTTGTGATCAGAGCAGAGAATAAGGCAGAGTGTACAATGATTTGAGAACAGTCAGCGAAGGTTAGGGTTACAAGGAAGAGAAAACAAAACTATAGGAAATATTCAGGCTTACCTGTCCACTCCATCCCAGCGATACCCTGGCCAGATATTGAATCTGTTGGGAGGAGGTGCAGGGCCACTGTAGCGAGGTCTCACTAAAGATAAGAGAGAGAGAAAAGTTAGTTATCTATGTAATTTAATTCAGAGCTGAATGGCCGTGAGGAAAAAAAATTTCATACAGAAATCTCTGATCGACTTCAACTTAAATTCCCAAATACAAGGAATCTGAAATTATATGGGAAAGCCTTCTTTGCAGGTATTTATGTATCATCACTAATGATTCTCTCTCTTCACATACATCACCTCTATCTCTGATGATCCCAGAAGGCTCACCTTTCTTATTCTTGTTCTCCTTGGCTTTATTCTTCTTGATAAAGTTGGCCATGGGGTCCCCCTCCCTTTCCTGTTCTCTCAGCATCCGATCCAGATCTTCATCATCAATATAGCGGGCCAGAGGCTTTTGCATTTCCTTCACTGCATCCTCCACATTTTGTTGCTGCTGCCGGGTCTGGGCAAGCCTGGACAAAAACAACCAGGAGTGACTGCTATCCTGTTTAACATCTCCACTCTTACACTGAGATGGACCATACTGCTACACGTGGAGAGCCTCCTCTTCCTAGCAGTCTAGGGCAAATACTGAAAAAGGTAACATTCCCAGAATACCAACCAGAAGTGTGAAATACGTCAGTATTGTAGGAAGCAGACTGGCACACTGTAGTTCCCAGTCCTGAAAACAGCTTTAAAGGCAGAACAATGAACTAACTGGTCAAGAGAGGAGAGAAATTACTTCCTCCAGGAACTGCAGTCTTGTGTTCCTTTCAGTGGCTCTCTTACCCTTTGCCCCACTGAGCATACAGGTCATCTCTCTCCGAGTCCTTCTCTGCTTTTCTCCTCTGCTCTAAACGTTCCAGTTTCAAATTCCTCTTACGACCAGACTTATCTCGAAATACAGTTTCAGCATGTTGGAATTCAGCTGCAAAGGAAAAGTATGCTTTTAAAGATAAACAAAAAGGTGTCAAAATCAGAAATAACATTCTAACAGCCGAAATCAAACACTTAGTGTTCTGATGAAGGATAAGAACGTTCACAGTCAGACCACAAGTCGTCCTTACCAACATCTAAGTGCATATTGGTGATGATTCTGAAAATTAACATTTTTTAAGAAGGAAAAGATCCACTTGAACCCAATGAGAAGTTAAAACAAAGCAGAAAACCAGAGCTGAAATTTGATAGCAATTAAAAATTTTAAATATCAGATAAATTAGCTATATTTTTTAAAAAGTAAAAGCTACATGAGCCTCAACTGGTCTCTGTACTTTCACATTTTTACCTTCAAATGCCATGGTCTCTTGGTCCCGTTTCTTGAGCTCCTGCTGCTCTCGCTGTATGTCAGTTAACACCAACCCAGTTTTAGCCCCAGAATACATGTGTGCAGCCTATGTAATAGAAAAGGGAGCATCCAACATTAATGAGACAATGTGGCAACAGGCTCCGTGGGTGTACACAGTTATGTCTGAGGATCAGCAATAACCAAACCAAAAACGCTACCTTATATTCTCATTATCAACCACAGGGTTGGCAAAAGAGAAGAAATAAAACTGAATTTCATGGAAAATTAACAGTACTGTTAAGTTTAAGAGGAAACAGAAACACAAACCAAAAATTTACTAAAGGGAAGGCTAAAAAAAATGAGTTTTAGTCGTTCAGTCATGTCCAACTCTTTGTTAACTCCATGGACTGTAGCCTGCCTGGTTCTTCTGTCCATGGAATTCTCCAGGCAAGAATACTGGAGTGGGTAGCCATTCTCTTCTCCAGGGAATCTTCCCCACTCAGGGATCAAATCCAGATCTCCTATACTGCAGGCTGATTCTTAACCATCTGAGCCAAAGGGTACGCTAAGCATCTGTATCTTGGATTTTTCAGCATATAAACTGCATACATGAAGACTCTCAGGTCTTTTGCTCAGAAACCTCTATCAAGCTCTGAGCCCTTCAGCAGAGATCAACACTGATAAAATATTCCATTTAAACCACAAAGTCAAGCAAACCTATCAATTTCAAATCTGAAATTGTGGCTGTATTTCAGGATAATGACAAGATATGACCAAATTCAAACTTTTTACTAAAACCCACCCTGTATCAAAATAATAAACCACCCCACAATCAATGTATATAAATTATATCCTAATATCCTTAAGCAATGTGCTAGGGACTTCCCTGAAGCCCAGTGGTTTTCAATCTTTGGTTGGGGAACTGAATAAAGATCCTGCATGCCATGTGACATGGTCAAAAAATAAGCAATGTGCTAAAATCTGATTAATATTAAATTGTCCATGAACTAAGCAGATACATAAAAATGTCACGGGGTCCAGCTGAAACACTGACCTCACTCCGTTCCCCACATCCGGGGTTAGGGACTGACTGGTCCACTCTACCAGGACCACATGGACTACAGAGGAGACTTACCTGAAAAGTCTGTGTTGGAGGTAACATGCACATCACAGGCTCTTTCTTAACCAGCTCACTAGAATAACATTTCTTTTTACTCCTTTTCTTTTTTGGTTTTTGGAATAACATTTTTGTACTAGTAGTGGTGTTCTTTAAAACACAATTACTTGGAGTTCATGTGGATTTTGTTAATTCAGCCTTCATCACAGATTTAAAATAATACAACACACTTACTTCCCAGGCGATGTGATTTCTAAAAGTCGTTTTATATTTTAAATGCCTCTCTTTAAGCTCTGGATACAGAGACCTACAGTCCAATTCATAATAGTAAATGGCTTACACTAAATGCTTACTTTGTCCCAGGCCCTGGGCTAAGAGTTTTACTTACACTACCTCATTTAATTCTCAAAAGAACCTGAAGTATGTACTACTATCATCTACATTTTAAAGATGAAGAAGCTGAGACTTAGAGATATTATGTATCTTGCTCAAATCTTACATTAAGAAGTAGAATTCCACCTGTGATGTTTAACATAAAGTTCATGCTCCTAACTCCATTCTGTAAACTACATTCTCCGTTTGTACGTAAGAAATAGAAAGTTTTGTTTAAACTATTAAAATGAGATTTGTGGAACTGAGAGAATATTAAGGCAGATGCTATTTAGGAAATCTGCTACTTGCCAGTTCCCCTGGGCTGGGTTAGGTAGTCTTGCCTTCAGAGAGAAGAAAAGAGCTCTAGAGGTGCTATGTGCTAGATTTCTCCAGCTAGGATCTCTGAGACCTGTACAGAGCTAGAAGATGAGTTACTCTAAACCAAGACATGGCTCCTGAAAGTTCTCACCTTCTTTCCCAGAGGCTGACTCCTTCGAGGTGGAGACAGATCAGAATCAGAAGATCTGGCCCTCTGCTTTCTCCTTGGTGGAGAGAGGTCAGAATCAGAGCTCCGATGCCTAGGTCTATTCCGTGGAGGTGACAGATCGGAATCGGAATCCTGGGGCCCTGAACTCTGTTTGTGCCGTGGGGGAGAAAGATCTGAATCAGAGGTTTTCCTACTGTCACCTGGGTAGGAAGAAGAGTCCAAGGTGTGACTCTGATGTTTCCTGGGTGGAGAGCTTGTGTGATGTTTCCTATGGGTGGGGGAAGAGCCTAGAAATTGAAGAGTAAAGATTTTAATCCCCTTGGCAAAAATCTAAAAAAGAATGTACCAGGCTAAAGTTCAACATTCATTTAGTCCTCTTTTGAGGAACTATCACTAACCTAAACATAAGTACACATGACAAGGGAGAAGAGCAAAGTCAGAGATAACTTTTAAAACCAATGGGTGGGGTTCTATTCCCAAGTTACTAGTTACTGTGCCTAGCACGAGACATCTCAACATCCTCATCTGGGCCATATGTATCCACACACAGAGGCCAAAGCAAACTGAACTCAGGGCTCAGTGGCATTGTTAGTCGCTCAATCTTAGCCGACTCTTTGCAACCCCATGGACTGTAGCCCTCCAGGCTCCTCTTCCATGGAATTTTCCAGGCAAGAATACTGGAGTGGGTTGCCATTCCCTTTTCCAAGGGATCGTCCTGATCCAAGGGACTGAACCCAGGTATCCCACAGTGCAGGTAGATTCTTTTACTATCTGAGCCACCCAGGAAGCCCTAGCAAGTTAAGATAACCTAGAATATATTCTGAGTTTCCTGGTGGTGCAGATGGTAAAGAATCTGCCTGAATGCAGGAGACCCAGGTTTGACCCCTGGGTCAGGAAGATCCCCTGGAGGAGGAAATGGCAACTCACTCCAGTCTTCTTCTGGAGAATGCATGAACAGAGGAGCCTGGTGGGCTACCGTCAGAAAGAGTCAAACACAAGTGAGTGACTAACACACACACACACACACAGAATATATTCTGATGTCGTTTGACTAAAACACAACAATGTATTTGAATTAAAAATTAAAGCAGTACCAGGGACAAAAGATGGAGCAAACCAATTTCATCGCACAGGTGAACTGTAGACATAGGCATCACAAATCACCTCCCCCAAAGGCAATCTGCAATACGTATCAACAGTCCTATAAGCAAAGAACCCCTCCCTGAGCCAGTAAATCAATTTCTACTTTGTTTCCTAGGAAACATATCTAAAAGCACTTCAATTCCCAGGAAGTCTGTCTAGAAATAGATACGGAAATAATCCAGAACAGAGCAACAGTTTATGTATAAGGATGTTCATTATACAATTACAGAGGAAAAGGTTTAGAAATAACCTAAAATACGCAATATTAGGGGAATGGTTACTGGAACACCAACAAAAATTATATTTTAACAAAGAGATATTTTATGACTCAGGAAAGATAATGCTAAGTGAAAAAACCAAGGAAGATTACACATGCAATACGTACTTACTGCCTAGACACGTCTCAACTACATCAAAAATGACTAGAAAAAGATTAAAAGAACATTGGCTACAAGAGAGAGACTGCCTCTGACTAGACAGAATTTTGTGTGATCTTTTTCTACATTTCTATACATTCCAAAGTTTCTGCAACATGTAGTATTTTCATGAGGTGGGGAGAATGAACAAAAAAATACATAAAAACTTCCACCCTACTTCTGTTAATCTTTAACTCTCCTCAGCCCAACCTCTCACCATTTCCCTCCAGTTTTTAAAACCCCAAGCTCCATTCTCACTTCTGAAGACCACAAATACCCAGTAAAGCACCTAAAAGACCCAAAAGAAAGCACTCTGGGAACAAGTCCCCCTCATGGACAAATGCTCACCTTTAGAATCATACTGCTTACTTCCAACACGGGACGTCGCTTGCTTTTTTCGTGAAGGAGAGAGGTCTGAGTCATACTCATATTTGCTATTCTTTGAGAGTGATGGATGAGAAGGTCCTGGCCCCTTCCGATGTGGAGAAGTTTTGCTAGAGCTTTCTGGGGCTTCACTGCTTTTGGTTCTGGGCAGTGAGTGAGGAACATTAGAAGCCAAGTCAGTGGAATTATGATGGGCCCTCTTGAGCTGTGATCGATCCACAGAGTCAAGAGTCCTTCTAGGTTGAGCTGTGTCAGGGGAGCAATTACGGGCCCTTCTGGCGGGAGAGAGATCTGAGGAACTGTGGTAGGCCCTCCTAGGAGGAGATGAATCTGGGGTGTCATGAGGGGTCCTCCTAGGAGGAGATGGATCTGGGGTATCATGACGAACCTTCCTAGGAGGAGAAGAATCCGGAGTGTCATGACGAACCTTTCTTGGAGGAGATGGATCTGGAGTGTCATGACGAACCCTTCTAGGAGGAGATGGATCCGGGGTGTCATGACAAACCTTCCTAGGAGGAGATGAATCCGGGGTGTCATGACGAACCTTCCTAGGAGGAGATGAATCCGGAGTGTCATGACGAACCTTTCTTGGAGGAGATGGATCTGGAGTGTCATGACGAACCCTTCTAGGAGGAGATGGATCCGGGGTGTCATGACAAACCTTCCTAGGAGGAGATGAATCCGGGGTGTCATGACAGAACTGTCTGTTTGAGGGTATATCTTCACTGTGGCCTAAACACAAATAGCAAAGAATCAGATTCCCATAAATGCTCTGTCATCCCTATAACCAAAGTTTTAAAAAACATCCCAGCAGGATACATCTCAAAACTACTAAGAAAGCCCAAAAGGTATGCACAGCTACTTTACGCAGTAAAGCAGCACTCATGAATATCCTAAGAAAAACTGCTCACATTTGCCTAACAGGTCATAAATCTGCAAGGCACTTTAAATGTATTTTTCATGTTGTATCTTGTTAGGTAAGCAGGGCAGGTATCCTTGTTTTTACAGACATGAAAACAGAGACCCTAAGAAGCTAAGTGGTTTCCTTCCTAGGGGTCACTGCTACTAAGATGAAGAGACAGGCTACAACCCCGACTTTCTAATCCCAATCCAATGCTCGTCCCCAAACCTTATTTGTATGGAATTCTCCATGAGAAGCTCCCACTGATATTTAACTTAGGCAATTCACAGTTTGCACCCACTCTTCTCTCAAAAGGCAAACTGAATAATTCCGTGCCACATCAAAATGAAATCCTGTGAGCTATTTAATCCATGCCATTGTGCTCCTTATTAAAAGCAGCAAGAGCACCAGAAAGAAAGAAGGATCGGCACTTTACTGATCACCTGCTGCATGCCCATGTCTATACAGATTATTTCATTTAATTCTCACAACAAGCCTAGGAGATAAATATTGTTCTCCTCATATTATAAAGAAGCTGATACTCAGAAAGACTAAGTAATTTGCCAAAATCATATTGTTAGTAAGTGGTGAAATGAATATCCAAACTCATATCTGTCTGACTCCAGAGTCCACAAACAATCTTTAAAATGGAAACAGTTTGAGACTTTTGATATTCAAAGATATACAAAATGAAATGTTTATAGCAAATCCAGAGAGTGACTAAATCAAGTTTCTCTTCTCCTTCTATCTCTTATCATTGAGCTCCCTAAGCAAATATAAACAACTAAAAGTTGAGTGGGATCCAATGAATATTTGTTAATGGGTGAATTAAACAAGTCACCTCCTTTACTTTGAAGAATAGGCTCCTCTGAACAGAATCTACCCCTCAGAGAAAAGTAATGATATCTGTAGGGTGTATGCACGTGAGATAAGTTGTTTCAGTCATGCCCGAGTCTTTGCAACCCTATGGACTTTAGCCCACCAGGCTCCTCTATCCTTGGGACTCTCCAGGCAAGAATACTGGAGTGGGTTGCCATGCCCTCCTCCAGGGGATCTTCCTGACCCAGGAATCGAACCTGCATCTCTTCTGTCTCCTACATGGCAAGAGGGTTCTTTACCACTTGCATCACCTAGGAAGTACCTGACAGTACATCTAATCCACATAGTTGATAAATCCCATGATATTTATAAAAAGTTGGTGGTATAACCCTCCCCAGACTTCAGGCTATACTACAAAGCTATAATAATCAAAACACCATGGTCCTGGCACAAAAAGAGAAATATAGATCAATGGGACAGAATAGAGAGCCAGAAATAAACCCATATACCTATGGTCCATTAATCTATGACAAAGGAGGCAAGAATATATAATGGAGAAAAGACAGTCTCTTCACAATAGGTGGTTCTGAGAAAACTGGATAGCCACATGCAGAACAATGAAATTAAAACATTCCCTCACACCATATATAAAAATAAACTCAAATAATTCAAAAACCTACATGTAAGCCCTAAAACTACAAAACTAGTAAAGAATACATATAGGTGGAACATTCTTTGACATAAATCATAACAATATTTTCTTGGCTCAGTCTCCTTAGGCAAAAGAAATAAAAGCACAAATAAACAAATGGGACCTAATTACACTAAAAGCTTTTGCACAGCAAAGGAAACTATCAACAAAATAAAAGACAAGCTACGGAATGGGAGGACATATCTGCAAATGAAGCAACCAACAAAAAATAAAACCCAACCCAATCAAAAAATGGGCAGAAGACTTAATTAGACATAATTAAATAGACATAAATAGACATAATTCCAAAAAATATGTATGGCTAACAAGCACATGAAAAGATGCTCAACACTGCTAATTATTAAAGAAATACAAATCAAAACCACAATGAGGTATCACCTCACACCTGTTAGAATGGTTACCATCAAAGTCTACCAAGGGAATTTGCTGGCTGTCCAATGGTTAGGACTCTGCACTTCCACTGCAGGGGGGCATGGGGCTGATCCCTGGTGAGGGAACTAAGATTCTGCAAGTCATGCAGCATGACCAAAAAAAGGAATACAACATATTATTTTTAAAAAAATTCTACTAATAAATGTAGGAGAGGATATGGAAAAAAGGGAACCCAAGCGTGAACTGGTGTAGTCACTATGGAAAACAGTATGGAGGTTCCTTGAAAAACCAGAACAGAACTACCATCTGATGGACCAATTCCACTCCTGGGTATACATCCAGGAAAAATAAAAACACTAATTTAAAAAGATATATGCATCCCAATGTTTACAGCAGCACTATTTCTTAAGCCAAAACATAGAAACAACTCAAGTGCCCAGCAAGACAAAATATTTGGTTTAAGAAGTTGTGGGACACACACACACATACACACACACACACACACACACGAATATTATTCAGCCATGAAGAAGAATGAGATATTGCCATTTGAAGCAACATGGATGGACCTAGAGAATATCATACTAAGTGAAGTCAGACAGAAAGATAAGTATTATATGACAGAATTTACATGTAGAAACTAAAAAATAACACAAATGAATCTGTATACACAACAGAAACATACTCACAGACACAGAAAACACACTTATGATTACCAAAGGGGAAGGGGGAAGAACTAACTTAGGAGTATGGGATTAACAGATACAAACCACTATATATAAAATAGATAAGCCATGAGGAATTACTGTACAGGCCAGGGAACTATATTCTATATCCTATAATATCTTAAATGAAAAATTATCTAAAAATATATATATACACATAACTGACTTTGCCATATACCTAGAACTAACACAGTATTGTAAATCAACGATACTTCAATTTTAGAAAAAAGAAAAAAAAAGATAAAAGTCTTTCCCTATTAATGAGAAATTCAGATTTATCTGTTACTGGAACTCACTCCCCAGAAGCTTCCATTTAGCACTGGAACGAAAGGCTTCCATCTGCTTTACCTCTTCTGGCCGCTCATCTACAAACTCAGCCACCTGTGGAAATGAGAACAACACTTGAAGGAAATCCACGAGATCCAGCCAAGCAGCAGTGCTATCTGAAGAACCTGAAGTTATGACTATTCCACTCCTAACAATACATGGCTCACAAAGACCCAAAACAGCCCTGAAGAAACAGATAGTGGTCCTCAGTTACATGCGCTCCATAAACATGTGAATGTCATTGGATGGTTTAACTATAGATCTTTCTATGACTCATCAATTTCCCTCCAGATGTTCATTTCTTTTATTACAAACCTTTTTATTAACCTGCCTGGTGTAACAACTGCCACTCAAAGCTAAAAGCTAAACTCCTTTTACCTGTTTACCACTCCATTCAGAGTAAAAACACAGGCAGGGTTCCTGTCATACTTATCATTCATTAAGGAATTTGGACTCCTTATGAAAGCTTTACTGTAGATCACAAAGATAGTTTTTCCAGAATCCCACCAAAAGAAGTCATGAAAATGTACAAAGACTCATAGAATCTTTAAGGGATAAGACCATATTTCCTATCACCCAAATTCCCAAATAAGTCTGGAATCTTCCCTACAGTATCCTTGATAAACGATCACTCATGTAGTCCCTCCTGACAGAGAACCAATCCACTGACAGGGAACTCATGTTACAAGGCGGTCCGCTGCATTTGGGGGCTAGAAAGTTCTTAGTTGTATTGGACCCGGATCTACCTTCCTGTAATTTCTTCCTATCCACCCAAGTTCTGACCTCTGAAGCAAATGATCCTCTTTCCACATGACAGACCTGCAACTATGAGCAAAGGACTGTTTTGTGCTTTACTTATAGTACCTCACTCAATCTTCACAAAAGCCCTGCAAAGAAAGGATCTACATTACTAAGAGCAAATTATGGCTCAGAGACGTAACTATCTCCTTTCCACCTTGTTTCTCAGCAATTCTGAGCAAGAGTCCCATGGCCATACCAATGCTAACTTATTTACCTATGCTTTTGACCACCTTGCTCTTACTTATCCTTCAAAACTCAATTCAGATATCTCCATCCTTCAAGGAATCTCCCATCTTCATGGGCTAAAAAATGTGCTCCCTCCCTTAGGTTCTAAAAGCACTTGGAACGTATGTGAGGGGCTTCCCCATTGGTGCAGCTGGTAAAGAATCCACCTGCAATGCAAGTGATGTAGGAGACACAGTTCAATCCCTGAGTCAGGAAGATCCCTGGAGAAGGAAATGGAAACCCACTCCAGTGTTCTTGCCTGGGAAATCCAGGGACAGAGGAGCCTGGCGGGCTACAATCCATGAGGTCGCAAAAGAGTCAGACACAATTTAGCAACTAAACAACAATAACATATGTGAACTATATCTCCGACGTTCATCATATTGCTGAAATTATTTGAAATTCAGTCTCCCATTCTAAGGATATGACCTCTAAAGTATAAACACTATATTCTATTAATCTACATATCTGCTGTACCCAGGCAAGAGTATACAATCTTAAAGCTTAGTTCAATCAGTAAATAAAAGGAACAAATAACATTTCCTTTCATGGAAACTGAACAGTGTTTTTAAGGTAAGTTCCAGCAAATTGAACCATGGCTAATTCTAATCACGACTCTTTATCACTGACATTGAGGAATCCTGTCTCTCTGTGATCAGTTCCCACTTCTAGGCAGATGGAGCCCTCCATACACAAAGACTGTATATAGGCATCATCAAAGAAAACTATTTTAAAATAGCTCCTGGAAAATGTCACCTCTCCTCTCACCTTAACTTTCCTCCTTACTATCTACCCTGCATTGGGAGCCGAAATTAAGAGGCTTGCATTTCACAGTCCTCAGAGCCTCAAAAAGATACACAACCTTCCATGATCGTCTCTTTATCTATTTCTGTTAATTATTTTTTATAGGACAATGTCAATTATGTCTTCTTTTACAACAAAATAAATGTCACATCTATACATTTAAAAAAAAAAGATACACACCACAGGCAAATCTCCATCATCTTCCTCTTCTTCCTTTTCTGCTTTAGTGGTTGAGATAGATGTCCAGCTCACGTCATCATCCACAATTCGCATTCTAAAGGTGAAAAATAAAAGAGCTAAAAAAGAAGAATCATTCTTGAATAACAGCCCACAAACATTCATCTCTGGTTTTAGGCTAAAGTTCAAAATCCTGTAAGATCCTACGGTCCATTCTTTGCCAGTATGGCCAATTTCACCTTGAACCACTATCTCCTCAATTCACTACTCACTAGTCATCTTCTGATGCCTAGAATGAGCCAAATTCCTTTCCATATCAGTTTCACATATTCAGTTCCTTCCCTCTGCCTGACCTACTCTTCTTATTCTCTACTGGGAAACTCTTAGTCATTCTTAAAATCCTAGCATATATACAAATTCCTTGAGCAGACCTTACAAAACTATTCCCCTTACCTCTCCCAACTAAGAACCCCTGTTACACATTCTTGGAGAACTTTCATTTACCACAAAGGAAATAAATCAACTAGTTGCATAATTAGTTGTTTAAAGACTGTATCCCCATTAAACTATAAGCTCCATCAGAGTAGGGACAGTGATATCTCATTCACAGTGATATCCTCACTGTGATAGATGAAGTACTCAATAAATGTTTGTTACATGGATCAACTATGAATGAGTCCAAAGAATAATGACTGCCATGATGTAAACCGTTATTATTAACAGTTATTATTTGAAAAGCGAGATTACTAATCACAACAACCATTTAATATAAGTGATATAAATCAATATTACTCTTGACTTTAAAGATGAAAAAACTGAGGCTTAGATGAAATACCTTGTCCAAGGCCACACAACTCATAAAGTGGCACAGCTAGGACTGAAAGACTGATCAATGTTACTTCAAAGCTCAAGACAATTTCACTACAAGGCACTGCCTCCAGGAAATCCACACAAGTCAGAGGGGTCAGAAGACAGCAAGAATAACTCAAGAACCAAAGAGTTAACTAACTAAACGGGTTAGTTCTTTAGAACTATTTGACTTTACAGGGTATATTAGTTTCTTAGAGCTGCCTAACAAAGGACCACAAACTTAGTGGCTTAAAACAACAGAAATGTATTCCCTCACAGTCCTGGAGAATTCAAATCTAAAATCAAGGTGTGTGCAAGGCAATGTCCACCAGGAAAGGTTCCAGGAAAAGATCTTTCCTTGACTCTTCCAACTTCTAGTAGCCTCTGTCGGCTGCATAAATCCAGTCCAGCCTCGGCCTCCATCTTCACCTGGGAAGTTTTCCCTCTAAGTCTGTTTCTGTAGCCAAATTTCTCTTTTCTTAAAAGGAAACCCGTTTATACCGGACATCTTAACTAATTATATCTGCAAAGACCCTACTTCTAAATAGTGTCACATGCTAAGGTTCTGGTTTGGAGGGGATAGACAGTACTCAACCCAGTACACTAGGCCACGTAAGTTTTCTCGTTTGAACAGTGGGGATAGCAAAAATATCTACTTCTTAATACTGTTATGACTCTTAAATAAAATCATGTCTAAAGTACTCACAACGGTACCAGGCACATGACAAGAACGGTATAAACGTTAGTTGTTATTGTTGGGAGTAGGAGTAGGAGTAACAGGAAGTGAGCATAGGTCAGGACCCGAGTCCTTGGCTTAGGAGACCCGCACGGGCAGGTTCTGTGCCGCTAATATCCCAGCACAGAGCCTTTGAATTCGTTTCACCTTTATTCTCAGGACACAATATTCACTCTCTCTGGGAGAACGGAATGCTACAAAGGCGGGAAAAGACTAATAAAAGTTACAACCCGGCCTGAACACACTAGAGATACTGCCCAGGGGCGCGAGCAGCGGCCTGAGAGGGCTCTGAGCACAGGTAGGCTCAGGCGAGCAGTCAGGGGCGCGGGGCCGCCGGGGCCGCCGGCGAGGAGCCCAGCAAGAGCCGGCCGAGGGCGGAGCGGGAAGGTGAGGGGTGGCGGGCCGCGCGGACCCCACCCTGCCAGGGCCAACTCACCCCTTGCCGCCGGCCCCGCTAGGCTTCGGCCGCTTTTTGCGACGCTTGCGGCCGGACTCAGGGCCCCCGTCGACGCCGGCATCTGCCCCAGACAAGTAACGCTTCAGGTACTCGGCCTTGGAGAGCGGTGGAGCTGCCGCCATGGCAGCGGCGGGAGACGGGTCGGGGCTAGGGACTAAATTGTTGAACGCGAAACGGAACAGCGGCGAGCTAGAGAGCGGGGCCAGAACCGGAAGTGACGGCACGTTTGGAAGTGCTGGGCTGACAGGTGCGAGTCCTGTAATCTTGGAGGACTGAAGAACGGGAACACGCACACTTACGGGGCCCACTCTACATCCCCTCTGACCCGGCAACTGTGTTTCTTCTCTTCGTCCTTCCATCTGCTCAAACAGCTGTGCAGCAAGCGCTGTTGTGGTCGCGAGGCTACATCCATGACTCCAACAAGACTTCCCCCAGCAGCTTCAGAAGCACCAGAGTAGTTAGGGACATGGGCTCTGGAGTTGCAGTCCATCTACCTTTGAGTTCTGGCTCAGTAACTTGCTAAATGTGGGAGGCCCGGGGCAAGTTACTTAACAAAATGGGGATAATGATGACATGGAACTCAATGATTAGGTGGACTGACATAGTATTACTGTGCAAAGTGCTTCGGACAACTGGCACACTGTTTAAGTAATTTTTAATATGTTTAGGAGGAGAGGAATCTGCTTTAAGGGGCTTTCAAGAGAGGAATTCAGGATTCCAAACCCAGTATAATTATGATGAAAAACATGGTAGTTTCTAACCTATGTAACTTACCCGCATTTGATATCAGTTGTCCCTAGATTTTTGCACTCTTCCCAATGAAAAGAACCTGGATCTATTGACGTTTTCAGCATGGCAAAAGAGAGAAGCTAGAGAGAATGAATTCTAACACTCAAGTTTGGGAAGATTTTTCTTCTTGAGGTTTTAAGAGCTGTACTTGAATTATCTCATTTAACCCTCACATTTCTCACATGGTTTTATTACCTTTACCTTACAGATGAGAACACTGAAGCGTGGAGAGATTAAGTTACCCAACTTCACACAGCTAGAACATATGACCCTTGGGATCAGAGACTAAAAAAGTGGGGTGCAAGAGGTAATCCAAATTTTTTGAAAAATAAGTTAGTTTGTATATTTTACTTATCTCACCATATGCTCAATTTTTTGGTCACTGTTTTAAGGGATATATATTAGCCAATGAGGCATTATTATACTTAACAAATAAAAACACATATCTTGGGACACAGGTTCAAAAAATATACCTGATAGAACAGGTTTGAGATTACCGCCCTGAGGCCTGCACTTTAAACCACTGGAATGCTGAGTGGTCACAGCACAGGCCCAAGAAGACAAGAAGGCTGAGTCTCTCAGGGCCTGTGAGAAGGGGGCAGTGGATTGATAGTGCCTCACTAGCTGGAAGGCCCCATGTGTCCATTCACAACACCGCCTTGGCATCTAGTCCACTTTAATGTATCTCAAGCTGAACTCCACATCCCAGCATCCTCCCTGGTGTCAGTAGGCATTGGGAAAGTCTCACAGTTCTGCTCCAGGAATGTTACCAGTAGAGTCCTCTCAACCCCATCACCTCCTGCCCATTTCTGTCTTCAGTTCCACCTCTAACCATTCTACTGACTACCAAATCTTAGCCTGACAAGACTAAGCTCAGGTCTTAAGCCTACCTCACAGGGCTCAAGGATCAAATGAATTCACAACCAGTAGCATGGCCAGAGGGGCATGGATTCAATCCCTGGTTGGCCCTTTCTCTGCAGTTCCATCTAATAAGGCAAATGCCCCGCCTTCCCTGGCACTACCCTGACCCCTTCACTGCTTGACATTCCTCCATAACATGGTGAATCATCTGACACTGTTCTGGTTGGCTTTGACAACCCCCACCCACTCTGTCAACTCTCCCCACTACACTTGAAGCTCCATGAAAGCAGAGCTTTATTTTCTTCAGTTCCATGATGTATCTGCACAAAGCAAGCATTCGAACATCTACTGAAGGAGTGAATGAGATGCCAGCTCCACTCCCTAAGTTACAGTTGCTCCACTAGAATAAATTTTCTTCAGGAGGTTGAATTCTACCAGCATATCAAACAAGGACAGAGTGAATTCAGAGGCCAGTGCCACCATTTTAATGAGAACTTCTTCACCTGTCCTAGACTCCCTCCCCTCAGAAGACTCTTTCTGTTGAAAGTCAGTATTTTATATACCAAACCCAACTCCCAAACTCCAGATGTAGATGTCTTCCACCTTCTCCCAACTCTTCAGAGTTCCAGCCCTACATGAGAGAGCACTGTGTGGAGGGAGGGTAAAGACTTGAAAGGAAAAAAGTGACAATGACATGCCCAATGGTTCATTTCTCGGTTTCTTTCCACGCCAATTCAAATCCTTCAAAGTAAGGTCAAGTAACCCAAGAGGTTTGTATTTCCATCGCAAACTGTTCAGAAAGTGTGCCCAGATCTCTGACTTAGACCAGGTGTCCTCCCTGCATGGGCAAGGCCTGGTAGGGGGGCAACTCCAGCCTTTTCCAAAAGCAATAAATAACCCCATCGTCTGAGTCGCGCTGGAGGCTGGCTGAGAACCGCCACTGCTACCGCTGGGCAGGCAGCCCTGTTTCATAGCCCTCTGTCTTCATGTCGTTGAGCCCCAGCTCCTCGTTTTGGTCAAATGTGCGCTTATAATGCTCTACCTTCATCTCAGGATCATCTTCAGGTGCATACACATTCTGCAAGGCCAAGGACAGATCATCAGTGTCTCTGCCGTCCTACCATCCCCCTCCCCCTGGCAACTTCTGAATTTCCACTTTATCAAGACCTTAATGAGTTTTTATTCTTTTTTTTGCCAAGCAGCATGCAGGATCTTAGTTCCCTAACTAGGGACTGAATCCACGCCCCCTGCAATGGAAGCACAGAGTGCTAACCACTGGACCACCAGGGAATTCCCTTCATTGTTTCGAAGGGCCTTCAACACCCAACAGCTAGGCTCAGCTCGTGGGCAGCAACAGAGCTCGCATGGGCTTGGAGGGGACTGCAGGGAGGAAAACTTTCTACCTGCACCTTCTTACAAAGAAGGTAGCATACTCTAAATTGTGGAGCAATCTTAGAAAAGTTTTGCCTGATCCATAATAACTACTCAATAAATGTTAAAGTTACTATCAATCACCAGAGTATCTCCCTTGTCAGCTTAAAGTTTCCCATCCTGGCCTCTGGACGAGGCACCATGTCTCCTCGCTCTGCAGCCAGATTTGCAAAATGAAACTCCGTGTTGTACTGAGAGCTGGGACTCCAGCTAGACCAGAGGAAGGAGGAACCTGGGAGTCTCCTTTTTCCCCTCTCGACACACAGTCCCTTCCACCTCCCCCCCTCCTCATGTTCCAATTTCTGCTAAGTTTCCCTGATAAAAAGGAGTTCATTTAGAATTGAGTGTCTCAGTTTCTGGAGAAGTAATATGTATTTAAGGATGGTCAGAAAAGACATCTCTATGAAATACCAGGGAAGGTCTACTGTACCTGCAAGTAGCTGTTTCCTGCTGGATCATCCATAATAAAGTGAGCCTTCAAAATACCCTCGAGGATCTAAAGGAGACAGAATTCAGCATGATCATGTAAATCTTACATAGTTCCTTGCAGGAAAGAGCTGTGTCTGCCAGCCTAATTTACAAGCAACCTAATTTACACTGCAGAATCCCCCAAAGTTTTAAGAACTAGTGAAATGGAGGTACCTCTAGAGGTGGAGTGGAGAGGATCTAAAATAAGAATCTTTGATAGTTATTTAAGAAGCATCCCTATTTCCTCTCTCACCCCAAACAGATCAACAATTGTCCTTCCTCCATCCCAAGAGCAGATAGAGGATGCTGTGGAGAAGTGAGCGCAAAGCACTATGGCCTGGGGGACACCGACCCAGTGGAGGGTAGAGCGGAAGGAATCAAGAACAGGAAGTTAAGTGAATGTAGCCTCAGTGCAAACATACCCGCCCCCAGTCCTGTTCCCACACTGGGCTCTCAGAACACTGCCAGCCAAGCCTTCACCATCAGGCCAGGAAATGGAACACGCACTGCTGGGAATCTGACCAGCCCAAGAGGAAACACTTAACAACTCAAGCATTGGAGTCACCTCAACAAAATGGCTAAGATGAATCCCCCTCCAGTGACCCAATGTCAATAAGACTCACCCCACTCAGGTGGTTTAGTCATCTACTTTTAAATAGACATCCAATGATTACCAGATATCTAAGCAAAGCCCCTAACACTGAAAGATAGAAATCAAATGGGGGAGGGGGGGGAGAAAACCCTTAGGAGGAAATGGAACCTATGCAAGGAAAATTAAACATAAGAAAAAAAATTAACATTCTCAAAGAGAAAAAAATACTACATCCTTAATACAACAGGATGCTATTTAAAAAAAAAAAAAAGCAGGCAGAGAAGTATTGAAAGACCAAAAAAAGCCACTTGGAAAATGTCAGTGGAAATGCAAAGCTCAATTAAAGGGCTGGAAAATTATTCTCCGACAGAAGAGCAAACACAAAGAAACAAAAAATAGGACAAAAAAAAAAATTACAGACAACCAGACAAGTCAGTCTAACATCCAAAACATAGAGATTTCAGAGAGAACAGAGAAAAAGCAATACAGCATTTTTTACAAGCTCCCTAGAACTGAGCCACATGACTTTCCAGATTTAAAGAACCCACCAAGTGCTTAGCAACAGTGGTTGAAAACTGAACCACACCAAAGCACATTCTGAAATTTCACATCACAGGAGACAGAAAGGTATCATAAGATAGGTCACAAACAAAAGATCAGGAAGCAGAATGCCTTCCAGCCTCTCAACAGCCAAACTGATAAACTGAAAGACATTAGCAGGAAATTGGAAGCCTTTAGAAATTCTGATAAAAAATTATTCCCACCCAGAATTCTATCCCCAGCCATTCAGCTAGTACAAGAGTAGAATAAAGAAAGTCTCAGACATGCAAAATCCTAGGAATTCTACTTCCCATGCACTTTCTCATGATGCTACTGGAAAAGATGCTCTAACAAAAAAAGGGAGAAAACCAAGAAAGGAGATGGCATGGGATATTGGAAACAGAATTCCCAACATGTTAGATGTTCTTATGTGGCAAGAAGGGGTATATAG